TTCATGATACTACCATCCCTTAAAGCAATGATTAAATTTCACCTCTTATAACTGCAGTCTTATAGCGTGTTTACACGGGGTCGAGTGCCGCCTTCGGGATACTACTTCGCCTTGTCGGAGGAGGCGTAGTTGACTCGCTGTTTACACCGAGTCGACTGTCATCTCTTCGGCTGACTTCCCAAATCTTCTAGGGAAAGCCTGTGACGCGGGTGCCATGGACTAGACTAAATGTAGGCCATAGAAATATTTCTTCCGGCCCGGGAATCGAACCTGGGATCTCTGCGTGGCAGTCATGGTAACCATTCGGCCACGGAGACAGTTAAATACAAGTTTACACACAGGACACAATAAGTTATTCGAAACGTTCAACACATTTATCAGGTAGGTAAGTATACCCAGCACGCGCAATGTGGTGGAATGCTGCTTAAATGTTACGAAAAATGTAAGAAATGTCGGAAACTCGGTCGACTACGGTAGGCAAAGGACTCGGTTTACAGTTTACACTGGGTAAGCGAAGGCGACCTATCGACTTAGTGTAAACGCACAATTATTACACTAATGAGAGATATAAAATTCAATTGCCAACATGTTTTGTGTGATGATGGATCTATACACAATGTGACCAGTGAGTGAGTGAGAGAGAAATTCCCCACTCATTGGCAACGCTGCCAATAACACTAGCACGACTGGACGCGACTTGCGCGAGATATTGCTATTATCTATGCGAGAATAGCAGTATCTCTACAGCTGAATCTCATTAAGTGGACCACGAAGATACAGTTATCGGTGTGATCATCTATTTTAGTATAAACCTTTCTAAGTACACAATTAGAAATTCTTAAATACATTCAGATTAACATAAGTGTTTATAGACGGCTTCACGACAAATAAGTTACACATATAGCATTAAGTTTTTGCATGACCGCTAAAGTTAGACCACGTCTTTGGAAGGGCGTGAGGGGGCTATGTTAAAGCCTGATAAGATTTTTGTCATTCAAGTTACAGAGCGAAACGGGTATTTGTCCCCCTCCACGAGGTCTAGCTTCAAGTGTCAAACAACAGGGTAATTATGAAGTCGACGTCAAAATGCAAAATTCTTTCGCTGTACTTAAAAATATATAATTTATTCATGCAGCCGGCCTTCTTACAGGCCGGCCCGTGCTCTCGCGCCACGCCTGAAATATCACAGGCTGCGAGAAGCAGTCTTGGCTTCTTAAGACCCAGCAAATTATATTGGGAAAAAAGCTAAACACCCAATGCACATTAAAATGGGTAATTTTCAGGTTAGTTGTCTCTACCTAATTTCGGTAAAAAATTTTTATTATTTAAATATTCTAGAATATTATCATGACGTAACTACTACTTAATATTCGAGTGTAGTATCCTGAAATATTATTTAATATTTCATAATATACTCGAATACTTAAAATATTAAAAAATTGCCACCGAAATTAGGTAGAGCAGTGGACCAGAAAATTACCCAAATACCATTACAAGCTTTAGGGCTCAGCACATTATGAGAAGTGTATCTTCTAAATACCCCTATAGTCACCTCGACTATGTAGCGCTAAATTTGAGTGCGATATTCATTCTAATTCACACTGGGTGTTTACGTGATCATAGGAATAATATTGTCAAGATTTTAATAACTTCACATATTATGGGGCCTTAGGAGTTTAAGACGATTCCTAAGGGACTCTTCAAATTATACGCTTGTAGAAGCATTGTAGTGGTGCAACTGTGGCACGCGAGTGTCGCGGCAGTGATACTGCAACTGCGCTTCTAAATTTTGGGTAATTATCAGGTTGGTTTTCTCTACCCAATTTTGGTGGCAATTTTTATTATTTAATTATTCGAGTATGTTATCGTGAGATATTAAATAACATTTCAGAACACTGGAATTAAGTAACACTTCATGATAATTTTCTAGAATATTTAAATAATAAGAATTGCCACCGAAATTAGGTGGAGAAAAGTAATCTAAGAATTACCATGAAAGTAAGTATTGGCGCCACTGTTGCGCCACGGCAGCGTTTCAATATTAGCTGCCTACTTTCTGAATCAACTTTTTCAAATGTCCACCCTTCGCCATTGCAAGCCATGTTTCACATTTTTTAAATACAAACATACCATCACTCCTGTCTCCCACTGGGGTAGGCAAAGACCATGAACTTCCACTCGCTACACTTACAACAAACCACTTTCGCCTTCTGCGCTAGCATCAGTCTATACATATATACATTTCACATTTAACCTGGCCTTTTTTAAGGTCATCCCCCTCTCTACACGTCTTCATACAAATTTACGCACTCTCCTTTTGAAAATGGTGAAAAAATATATACGTTTCAAGAACAAGATTCTGGTTTATATTCAAAATTTGCCATTACGAGGTTTAAAACTAAAGTGAAACAAAAAACAATTCAGCTCGAGTGGATGACAAAAATCACTCCATCCAGTGATTGATGTTGAATGATAAATGTGTACAAATGTTTATTACCAAAGGCAGTCCTTAGAGGTTCGTGCTCATTCTTCTCAAGGAAAATACCTTTACTAAATTAGCGACCTAGTCAGGGCTCCGTCTCTCGCTCGAGATTGAGTGTATCGCCGACAGTGAGCGCTCAGACAAGTTTTTCATTTACATAACAATCCGTGTACAACCCCAGCATTCGGTTCTACACGACTGCACACGGCGGGCAATGTTATTTTCACCTCTGTCAGCGCGTGCTTAAGTTCCTATTTCCTCGTAGTAAAAGCCTGGGTGTCATAATTCAGATTCAGTGGGCTATTACAGCGTAGTTGTTTTCGATTTTGTACACTTACATCTAATTTGAATTTATAATTTACTGCTCTATCGTATAACAATTCCCTGTAATGATGGTGGCAAGATTTCATATGAATAAATAAACAAGCTTTGACGTCGATTTCAGAAGCACCCTATATATTGTAATGATTATTTTGACTAGTACACTTAAACATCTAGATCTTAACTAATAAGTGTTCCCACTCGTATAATAAGGACAATGGTTTCAGAAATAATGCTTTTTTTTAGCTGGATTCGAATTCTTCTGTTGTTAGAAGTTCCTATATGAAATGAAGAGACCCTATTAATACTTTAGGTGAATAAAAAAATATGAAAACGATAGCCAATATTTTCTCAAATTATACGATGTTAGCACAGATGTTAGTACTCTACGAACATGGAGATATGGTTGAGTTTTGAATGACAATAAAATAAAAATCCTTTTATTGTGCCAATGGAACATCTTATTAAGCAATAATTTATATTTATACAAGGTGAAATTTAATTTTTGATGTAATTTTTCTTTTAACAATGTGGTAAACTTGTCTCACCATGTGTAATAAATAAATGTATCTTATTAATTGAATAATACCACACGGATATGATGTTCATGATGGTTTCTTTTTTATTTTCAATTAAATTACACCCCATATATAAACTTAATACATTATCAGCTAGACATACTAGCGCTTAGTTTAATATAATATTATTCTAATAAGAAATATTATTCTAATCAGAAAATGCAGTTTTCTATATTAAATATATGTTAAATAGTGGACACTGTGTCCAACAGGGGTACGTACAGTAAAGAACTAAGATTTTTTATATAAGAACCGATATTATGCAATATCTTTCAAAGTACATTATTAAATACAGTATGTAAGTTGCCCTTTATATACTACAGGATGTCTTCATAGCTATTTGTCCCATGTAAAGGCGTGTTCAGATAAACGTTATTCCCTACCGCTGTGGGTAGCCAAAAATACCGCGCGGTATCCCGCCGGGTGTTAAGTTCCACGGTAGAGTTCTTGTGGTGTCACCACACGATGCGGGGGCGGTGGCAAATTCATCCTTCCTCACACCCCGTTGCACAAAGTCTATGATAATTACTAAAGTCACGTGTTATGCTTATTTCTGTGAATTCGAAACTTTAACACGCTCACTGCAAACTTGGCAATTTCGACATACGATACTTTATTCAGGAGGGGTCGATATCTTTCTACATAAGTCTTTCTATCAACCTTTTGGTTATGCAGGAAGGGCACTATAACCTGTGCGAGCAAGTCCGCACACGGACCAACTAAGTCAGGTCCTAACCCCAGATCAGCCCGTTTGCACGGACTTCATTCGGTTCTCTATAAGGTCCAGTGCCTTGGGTCAGCCGCCCAGGGTGCACGTACAGCACCCTATTTTATCGTCTCCTTGCCTCAGGTCGTCTAGAATTGAATCACGGTGTGTACAGTGGGAATAATACCGCGTACCCACCATTACATTACATTCGCTTCCCACAGCGGCAGTGAATAACGGCAATATCTGAACAAGCCTTTAATGCCCACGATTACATTTACCCTTACCCGTTGCATTACCTTAACTTTCATACTACTCTTTTATTGGACAGCTTTAACAAATTTAGAAGTCTTACTTCTGTGACAATAATTTTAATAAATTGTTAATAAAAGTCTAAGCAAACCGCGTTGAGATCAGTTGTGTGCGTACATGACGTGCTTGCGCACGTTTGCATTGATGTATGAGAAAAATATCTGAGCGCATCAATCGATAAAAGCACGATGTGTTAGACAACATCTTGTTTAGAAGTGTTCAGAACGACGCCTTCAGCGACATGAATCACTGGCAACAGACCGCCTGAAGTATGGTTTGGTCGGACCTTTATTATTTAACCTTCATATGTCAGTTGTGTCACTGATCTCCGCGTCTTTCTCCGTAAGTGCGCACTGCGATTAAACTGCATTCGATACTATCAAGGTCCTTAAACTGCACTAACAGTTCGACTGGAGCAAAGAGCCTCTGTAAGGGGACACGTTGATGCTACGCTACGGATAAGTAAATTCGATTTGCCAGCAAATCGAAGACTTGACGATCTGTTTCCCTGCGTTATCTTTTCCCCCCATCGCAGTGCGGTTTGACAGTGACAACTTTCACTCTCACGGTAAGAAATACCTGGTGGTATTGACCAGGTCGTTTAGGTGTTCCGTTCGGTATCATTATTCTCGAATGTACTGTAGGTAATTTCGCAATCGGGCCTGGTTAGCCTGAAGTTCTCGACGCCTCGTTCAGTGACACTGGTCTGGCTGAAATCAATTCTTTGCAAATTTGGAGCTGCGGTTGCCAGATGTATGAGACTTCTGTCCGTAACAAGCCGGTATCCAGTTACGGACAATATTCTTAGCGACGACCTGTTCGGACGTCCTCCAATGTCCTGTCTGTTGCCGGCATAAGGTCCATTAGGTCCAATATGTACGACAATGTCCTCCCCATCTGCTCGACCGAAGCGCCTAATTGCAGCGTCACTAACCAGAGCGTTTGGATGGATATGTGAATGCCTATGCAACAATGATACTTGTGGATCCATTCTTGGCGTGTGCTGTACAAGACGAAACACATTAGCCTGTTGTGGTCTCCCAAGATTGACGTATAAGATATGCTGACGAGATTCCCTTGGCACAATTTGACGTTCCTGATTTTCTTGTTGTTCTGGACGCTCTTGATTTATTTGACCTTCCTGATTATCTTGTTGTTCTGGACGTTCTTGTTTAACTGGACGTTCTTGTTCTTCTTGTTGTATCATTGAGCATTCGATGACTACTGGTTCTTGATTGTAAAGGTCTACAGTGCAACTTCCTGCATATCTCATTAATGGCATGCCAGATGTGGCATCGTTGTTCGACGTACTAGGTTTATTTTGAGATGAGTCTGAACCGTTTCTAGATGTACTTGGTTGATTTTCAGAAGCCTTTTCACCGTTTTGAATCGCCTTTTTACCTTTCTTAGACGAACTTTCATTATTTCGAGACGAATTTTTGCCATTACGTGACGTATGTTTACCATTTCGAACTGAACGTTCCGTTCCATTTTGTGCCGAATTTCGTCGTCCTCTAGCACGTTTGCGCCATAAGCGCTCCTCACGCCTACTAATGTTTGCATTAGGCATCAAATACACAGGACGTTCTGGCAAGAAAGCGTCAACTGCAATTTGACAGATTCGACTTCTTTCGTTAGGAGCATCATTATCGTCGTCGTCATCATTGTTGTCAGAATCTTGTCTATTATCATTTTGGTCATCTTTCGATTTAGAGCTCTTAGATTTATCACTATCTGTTTTACCTTTATTTTTATCTTTGGCATCTGCTTCTTTGTAACGTTTCGAAGGCCCAGGTTGATTAATATCATCATTATTTCCTTCACCGTCATGAATCTTACGTTTATTGCAGTCCTCTTTAGCGCCACCATTGTCTTCATCACTCGTATCGCTATCAACTTCACCTTCACGGACAAATTCAAAGCGTACATTCTCCCGCACATTAAAAACTTTTTCTCCTCTTGCTCTCGCAGCAGCGAGTTTCTGTTCACGCAAAGCTTTGGCTATCTCTTTATTTAGGCTTTTGTTACCCCTTTTAAAAGCTTCTTTGCTAATAAAAATGTTTAAATCACCACCTTCATCCAGCTCACTCACATTAGGTTTATTACCCTTGTCTGAATTCTTGCGTGGTTTATTCGACGCACCGTCTTTCCGTTTTTTGGACGGTCCAGGTTCGTTTAAGGTGTCAATACAACCAATTTCTCGAATTAAACAGCGCTTTGGCGCTTCGTTCTGATTTGACGAGCTTGGTGCGTTGTTATTGGCGGATGTGCCACTGAAACAAATAAGTTATCATGTATCGAGTTTCAACGTTTTCGCGATTGTTACACAAACGAAATTAATTTTTCACCTTACTAGCTCTAAAAGGCTTTCTTTTTCATTAAGGCTGCCTTTCCACCAGAGATGTGCGACGTAGCGGGTCGGTGTGCGAGGAAAAATCCACCAATAGGATTACTTCATATGTACATACAAAAGTAAGTATATGTACATACAAAATAGCGAGAAATGTGTGCGACAGATACGGGTGAGGAATGTGAGCAAAACGGTGTATAAATCTAGAACTACTGAAAGTAATGCACTAACTGACAGTGACATATCGCCACCGCACATCCCACCGCTCGCCCGTGCATAGCTGAAAAGAGTTTGTAACGCATCCTCCCACAGCTTTAGTGGACACCGTCTCACAGCGCCGCTACACATCCTCGCACCGCCTCACTACCTCGCACATCTCTGGTGGAAAGGCAGCCTAAAAATCTGCGCGCAAAAAGGTTTTTTCAACGCTAGCGTGGAAAAGATTTTTGAAATTCGATCTTGACGACGTATTGTGAAAAACGTGTCACGTTCAACTACGCGATTTGTCGTATATTATTTATGTAACATAAATCCGTTGGTATATTTCATTCTTATTATTGTTGATATTAAATTGACAATGATAACTAATTTTGTTTATTAAAACTGATTTGTTATGGTTCAACTGTTTTTCTTTCATCTACCATTTTCCATCCTATAGTGAGGTGAAAAGTTGTGTGTTTCGCTCGGCAGCAAAGTTGTTTTGCGTCTCCTTGAAACCTTCGCTTACTCAGGATTCGATACAAGCACTCGCGTCAAACAACAACTTTGCAGCCTTGCATAATAAATAACTATTACTGGTCCTGACTTGATTTGCTGACAAAGCATTGGTTTGTCTTTAAATACGCGATTTAAATCCGAATAATCTCAGTACAAAGTACTAAAAAACCGACCTCAAAAGTAAAGTACGTGGAATTACATCTATTTGCCAAGTTTTATTGAAATATCCCCTAGTACGCCACAATAAAGGACTTGACACATGAGATAATAAAAATCGGTTCTCACTACTCAAAGTATATTGAGAGAGAAAAACGCCTTGAATTGGAGCATAGCAAAACCAACCATTAAAATAATTGCGCCTTAAGTAAAATTTAGGCACTATTTATAAAAATGAATATTCATGCGTTCAGCCACCCTTAGCGGTGGATGATTTTCTTCAAAATGAACCCCCCTCCCCCTGTACCCTCTTTCCAACAAAAAAAGAATCATGAAAATCGGTTCACAAATACCGGAGTTATCGCGTAACATACATACAAAAAAAAAAAACATACAGTCGAATTGAGAACCTCCTCCTTTTTTTGAAGTCGGTTAAAAATAGCTTCATTTCCTAAGACCTAGTGTGTAGGATTTAAAGTAACAGAATCTAATTTAATCACCTCAATTACGACATACACAATATTAAATATTTATCGAATAGATATTCAATTATTTTTGGGAAATGACTGCACTAGTTTGTTATAATCCGGCCGGATTCGAACTACA